GTAAGTGATCTCAAATACTCAATCTTCATTTTTGATAATTTGTCTGACAATTCTTTGTTTTCTTCTTTTATCTCATTAAACTGAGACCTCAATACAGTCAATTCTTCATAAAGTGGTTCTTCCTATTAATAATTATTATAATTAATACAAACTAGTGAGATATACCTCAATGTCTTTAATTGATTCAATATCACTTTGAACAGACAATGATTCCTCCTAATAATTAAAATATAATTAAATTTATATAAAGTACATGTATATGACCAAATATATTAAGAGTCATGCTTAAAGTATGAGAATTTCTCACCTCAGTTACTGGAACCATTAATGATATTTCTTGTTTCAATTCAATTCTTTCCTATACATACAATTAAGATTACATTGCACAGTCTGGTAGTATGATATACCTTCTCTTTGCTACTGATAATATCTCTTAGTTTATATTCAGCTTCTTTAAGTATAATATAAGAAATAACCTGTACATATAATTAACACATTACAATCAACTGAACACATTGTTACATTGTACAGGTACTATAATGTAACTAATAAAAGGAATGATTATATTAACTGACCTCAGTGTGTTGTAGTAAGTCTTGATCCTTTTCTTTTAGTTCCTATACAATACAATATTCATAAAACAATATTCAATTATTCATATTATGTACCTTTTTTCTAACATCTTGTCTCCTCCATAATGTTATGTTACCAATAGTCAGTTTCTTTAATCCTTGTCCCATTAGTATATGAATATTCTCTATCATCCTCAATACAATAAACCCAACATCAGAGAAAGGAAAGGAGCAAGTGACAGATATTGAATTGGTTTGTTTTATATACTCAATCTTCAGTAGTTTACCAGATGCTTTTGCAAGAAGCTCCATGATATCTTTGAGTACATGTTCCTCAGGCTCCCAGTCAAGGACAACAGTAACTGTCTGACATTGAAGAGGAGGAATGGAAGCGAATCTTTCCCTCAAACAAAGACTAATGGAAAGTGAATTGCAAAACTCTTTTAGCTTTGCTTTATATGCTTTAATGTGTTCATCTGCTTCAGTGATATTCATTTCTTCCACAACACTATGAAGGAGTGCAATATCAGTCAGTGAGCACTCTTTACGAATAAGATGCAAGGCACTAGAAAGATCATGACACTTCTTTATTTTTTCACTAAGAACTTCAGTGCTACAACAAGATTGCAGGAGTTCTTTTATTTTCTTTAGAGAGCAGCGCTTCTGTTTAACAATTATGCTAACATTGTAAAACATCCTTCCATAAGACATTCTCATTGATTTAAAGTCCCCCAGTAAGCCTTTTGAAACAGGAACTTGTACTACTATAATAAATATTACTTTTGTAGTATATAAAAGGTGTAGCTAGCTATGTACCTTGAGGTGATAAAGGTTGTGAAGATGAATTACTAGCAACTACTGCATCAGAAGGAGATGAATATGTATCTATGAAAATAAATAAATAATGAAGCAATTTTACATTACCGTGACGTACCAGATTGTATTGTATTGGTTTCATTGGCAGTACTTATATTATCTATAATATTAATGAATGTATTATCAATTAATTAATAATTATTACCTTGTGGAACTACATCATAATCTTTAATAATAGCCTCGGGAACCACACCTACTTCAGGAATAGGAAAATACTTCTCTGCATGAACACATAATAACAAACAGTTATAAGGTATACTGAACAGTATACATGTAGTTTTATAATAATAACTAAACCACCCACAGGAAACTATGAACTATGAATTTAATTTGAGTGGTTCTTGACAAAGATTACATTAAGATACTCAGTTACTCACTAATATCATCCAGTATAGTTTGTCCCAGTGATACATTAGTACTGATTGTACACAATACATTAGCAAATGTATGTAAACTGTTGGGATCAGTTTGAACAGCTTCTTTGACAGCAGTTAATAGAGCCTCACGTTGATTAGGAATAGAGGGACTAGCTGACACCACTCTACTAACTGCTTCTTGTGTTAACATACGTTCACCATAAAGTAACCAAGCAATACTAACAGGATCACAAAGAGACTGAGACAGGACAGTATGACGATTATTATAAATATTAATAAGAACCTGATGTTCTATGTCATGATAGAAAATACAATGATTATA